TCAATTACCAAATGGCAGGCAATAGTCCTCTCTCCTCCCTTTCCAGAGTTGCTGCTATCGTTAATATGCTAATTTTCAGCAATTCAGAAATTATAGACTATCCTGTAAATATAACTTTAGCCTCGAATACAGCCTGAGAAAGCAGCATCCTGGAGACAAAACATAGAATTCTTAGCGGGAAAAGACCCGTCAGCGATCAGACTGGGCACAGTGCCTATTCCGTCCTTAGCTTGTTTTTGTTTGGGGATTGTACTGAAATAGGAAGTTGTTGGTTTCAAAACTCGATTTTTGTGGAGGCGTCGCTGCTACCTATTCCCCCCTTGGCTATTTTTTCTCTCACAGTCGCACCTAGTAAATGCAAGCGTGTTTAACTCTCAAATCGACACCTCCATCAAATGAGATATTAGAAAGGTTTTGATTTTTCTTAGGAAAAAAAATCAAATAGATTCTGTCTAAAGGGAAGAAAAAATGAAAAGTGCCCATCCGGTTATATTGGAATGGCCTTGCTTTACAACCTCGGGCCCATTTCTCTCAGCTATTCACCCACCCACCCTTGCGGCTCCTGCCGGGCTTCTCGAGGCAAGGGATCTCTGGCGCACGATGTGAGGAAGAGGATCAGCTGGTGAAAAAAATGGGTCTGTTGGCCTTATTCGTTTTATTGAGGGGCCAGGATTAAAACCAGGATACCTCCAAGGTCTCGACGCCATTCCCTCCCCCCACCGGCCTCGAACCCTGGAAGACGCCAGGCCAGTCTAGCCTGGGCCCGAGGTCAGCGCTGGGCCGCTGTCACCCGGCTGCCCCGAGGCCTACGCTAAGGAGTACGGCACGAAAAGGGCCCGGCCTGGGCGTCCAAAGGACCAGAAGCACTGGCGGGTCCCGAATTCCCAGCAGGACTCAAGTTGGGGGGTTGGGGGGGACCTAAGCTCCAGCTCCCTCCCTCCGCCGGAGGCAGGACAGCCGCATCCATCACCGGCCCGCGCGCTTCCTGATCCGGGTCCGCGCGCGCGGCGCGCCCATTGGCGGGGGCTAGTCACGTGGTGGGTACAGGGCGGGGGCGCGCGCGGGACCGAGACGAGCGCGCGCGCGAAGGGGGTCGGGGGAGGAGCGGCGCGAACTTTGGTGGCGTTGGCTGCAGCGGGAGGGGGAGGGGCAGGGGTGGGCGCTTGACAGCGGGGGAGGGGAAGGGAGCAGAGGAAAGGGGGGATGGGAAGCGAGGCAGGAGGGGGAGGGGCCTCGGCGAGCCCAGAAAAACGACAACGCGAGAAAAATTAGTATTTTTGCACTTCACAAATTAATGACCATGAGCTCGTTTTTGATAAACTCCAACTACATCGAGCCCAAGTTCCCTCCCTTTGAGGAGTACGCGCAGCACAGCGGCCCGGGCGGCGGAGACGGCGGCCCAGGCGGGGGCCCCAGCTACCAGCAGCCCCCAGCGCCCGCGGCCCAGCACCTGCCGGCGCAGCAGCCCCAGCTCCCCCACGCGGGCAACAGCCGCGAGCCCCCCGCCTCCTACTACGCGCCACGGGCCGCCCGCGAGCCCTCCTACCCTGCGGCCGCGCTCTACCCCGCGCATGGTACCGCCGACGCTGCCTACCCCTATGGCTACCGCGGTGGCGCCAGCCCGGGGCGGCAGCCACAGCCCGAGCAGCCCCCGGCGCGAGCCAAGGGTCCTGCGCACGGCCTGCACGCGAGCCACGTCCTGCCGCCCGGGCGGCAGCCCCCGCCGCCGCCTCCCCCGCAGCATCGCGCGGCGCCCCCTGCACCCCCGCGGCGTTGCGAGGCGGCTCCAGCCACCCCGGGCGTCCCGGCAGGGGGCAGCGCCCCCGCGTGCCCGCTGCTCCTGGCCGACAAGAGCCCGCCCGGCCTGAAGGGCAAAGAGCCTGTGGTGTACCCCTGGATGAAGAAGATCCATGTCAGCGCCGGTACGTGGCGCCGCTGGGGAGGCGCGGGAGGGTGGGCTGGGGCCGGGCCGGGATTCGGGGATGGGGCGAGGGTCAGAAGAGGAGGCTGAGGGGAAGGGGGGCCTCTGGAGGGGAGCCCCCATCTGGCCCGAGCTACAGTGGGATGTGGGTGTGTGCGCGCCAGCCAGCCGCCTGATCCTAACGTGAGAACCCTTTTGTACCCGGGGTCCCTTTATCGAGAGATTTACGAGACGCCAAACTGTTAGGGCAGTAATTATAGCCCCCATAAATTTAATTGCCCTGGCAGAGGCTTCAGGCCATGTGTCTTTGAAGCTTTTCTTCAGCCCCAATGCCCAGCACCATTCTTTATGGCTCTCGGGTGTTTCCCGTTGTCAATAGCCTGTGAAACATTTTCTTTGCCGTTTTATGTATCTTGCGTGAACTTGGTGTCAGGTTATTATATAATGATGATGTCCAATTGCTCTTCCCCACCCCACCTTCTCTTTCCTCCTCCTTTCCCTCTCTTCCACTCCCTCCTCCTTGGCCTTCTCCTTCGGGGTTATGGGCGTTCAGTCAACCCCAGTTATAACGGAGGGGAGCCCAAGCGCTCTCGAACCGCATACACCCGACAGCAGGTCTTGGAGCTGGAGAAGGAGTTCCACTTTAACCGCTACCTGACCCGGCGGCGCCGCATCGAGATCGCCCACACGCTCTGCTTGTCCGAGCGCCAGGTCAAGATCTGGTTTCAGAACCGGAGGATGAAGTGGAAGAAAGATCACAAATTGCCCAACACTAAGATGCGGTCCTCCAACTCCGCCTCGGCCTCAGCAGGCCCGCCAGGGAAAGCACAAACTCAGAGCCCGCACCTGCCTCCCCACTCCCACCAGGGTGCCTCCACACCCATTCCCTCCTCCATATAATCTTCTAGAGATCTAGACCAGTTTCATTCCCCCACCTGCTTCCCCCCCACCTTCTGCCCTTTTCCCCATACTCCTACCTGTCTGGACCATAACAGACCCCCAAACAAAACCCAACTTGGTGAAAAGGATAATAAAAAAAGGAGACGTTATGTTGGTAAGAGTATGTGCTGGTTGCCACCTAAGAGAAGACAATAGCCAGGATGCTGGCTGATGTCAGCATCAACCTGCTGGCCTGAATAAGGCTGCAGGTTTGGGTACCTGAGAAGGACCACTTGGCAACAGATACTTTTGAGATGGCTAAAGCCAGCTGGACAGCCCATGCTGACTAGGCATACATATATGTATATTTGTTGCAAGCAGAAGAAAACAGACCCTTTTCCCACCTTCCCTACCTCCCCCTTCCACATTAAGGCAGCTCATACAAGCTTGTATTGAACTGAATAAATGAGTAGACATTGTGGACCTCACAAGATTATTTAATTCTCAAAATGTATAGACCTTGATGGTAGATGTGACACATGTTAGTTTCCCTTCCTTGCATTTATTTAAAATATTGTAGAGTTGTTGTTGTCTTACTCTGAGGCACAATCTGGGGGTTTGGGGAGTGCATTTAGACCCATGTGCAACTGTACAAATTGTGGTGTGGCTATATAGAAAAGCCATGTGCTAAGAATAAACTCTGTTTAAAAAAACCATTAAAGTTCTAAGACACATTTTGTGTGTTTCCTACTTTTAATTAAAAAAAAAAAAAGTTCTCTGGATTGAGATGTTTGACCTTGCATGTAAAACTCCTATAGATGGCTCGAGTTATGTTCACTTGGATTCTGACTGCTCACATAATTTGTGTGAGTGTGTTCAACTCGAGCTGAACTCTTGTCAAGTTTGACCCACTGTGGGAAAAGTTCCAAAGAGCAGGGAGGCTCTTGAGCTCTGAGAGGGCTCCTCTTCTTCCCAAACTTGGCCAGGCTTTCAGGCTTCAAGTCTGTGTAAGGCATAGAAACGTGTCCTTCCCTGCAATGAAAGGTGAAACCGCGCAATGCTGAGGGCCCAGGGGTTTCTGCAGCTGTTCTACACGCTGAACTCTGAGCACACTTGGAAAGAAGTGGTCCCTTTGGTATTTATTGCACCTTCACACTTAATCTGCCTGTTTCCCTGGAGATTAAAAAAAAATAGTTTGTGCGGAGAGTTGAGATTGCTTTTTGTTTCTTGGATATTTTTAAGGTTCTCTTTGCTAACTACAGCTTGGGGTTTTTTGTTTTTCTTTTCTTTCTCTCTTTCTTTCAGAAGCAAGAGCTTTCAAAATAAACTGAATTTTTCAGGTAAACCCTCCAAAGTTTCTCTGAGGAAAGAGAAAGCATAATGACACTCCCAAAATTTACCCCAAGCAAGGTAGACCTGGGAGTATTCAGTGCTGGAAAAAAGCCAAACTCTAAGCTAGGGTAACTTTCCTCAAATGCTCCTGGATCTTTCTGCCCAAACTAAAGAGCTAGATTCCAAGGTTGAAAATCAAAACCTACGTCTCAATCTCTGTAACTCTAGTATTTATTTACTGATTTGCAAATCAGTAAAGAGGATTCAGACTTGGTTGTCACTAAAGGGAGGATTTTGCAGCACAATGCAGAAAGCCAACACACGGGCAGTCCCAGACTGTAACTGTCACCTGGCCAAGTGGAATGGGTGCAGTATTTAATTCATGTTATAATTTTAGCAGAGATGGGAGGGGGCGCTCCCCTGCCTTTGCTATACCAGAGGAATTTTAAACCCATTTCCCCATGAGTGTCAAACCCTCAGTCAGTGGTCAGTGCTATTCCTCCTCTTGCCGCTGTTGCCCTGTGTGTGACACAGGCAAGGGTGATCAGTTCCCTACCTATGAACAAATCATATCTAGGAGGAGAGTGGTGGACACCAGTCTCTGAGGGGCCTCCAGCTCTCCCCAAGAAAATTCAGGGGCAAACATACACGCCTTCCCAAGTCAGGCCAAAACTGGCATAAAGTGCATTTTATCCGGTGTGAACGGGTGCCAGGGATTTCTGGAGGGACTGTGACTGCTGCTGAAACTTATTAACCCTCCCCCTACAACACGCACTTGTAAAACGAAATTAAATCACGCTGAAAATAGCAATTTTCCCAGGAATCATTAATCACCTCATACAATAAATACTTCTTTGTAATTCAACAGCAATTCTGAAAGGCATTCTCTGGGAAAAGTCTGTGGAGAAGCGAGGGATCTTCTTGCAAATAATATGGTCTCGGGCAAAGACGCAGCATCTTGGCTGTCTGCTCAAAAAATGCCTAGACTCTTGGTGGAAATTGAGTGTCAAGCTGCAAAACCTCAAATGGCAGATTATCATCATTTAAGGTAAATTCTTATATTTCTCCTTTGTAGGGAAGGAGGGGTATAAGGGCTTCATTAGCTTCATACTGGAGGCAGTTGTATGGGGATGAAAGGGATAACTTTCTTTCACTTGCTCTTATAGCCGATCCAAGAAAGGAAGAGAAAGGATCGAAAGATTGTTTTTCTAATATACCAGGACAAGATGGCATCTTTGTCCAAACTGTCTTGATTATTAAGGTATTGGTAAGTTTTGCAAAGCCAAAATTATCCAAGATGACCCAAGCAATTGTGTCATTTCTTTACAGTGTTTTGCCTGTTTTAGATTCCCTCTTTAAGGGAGCTTGTTATAACAGCTTAGAAAATCCCACTTTGGACTTTAAAATCATGCATTGTCTTCCCTTTGCTAGGGCAACCATAAGAGTTCACCCAGAGGACAAATTTTCTATCTCATTAATTGTTTTTTTTTTTTTTTAAAGCGAACCCTAGTGGCCCTTCAAACCCTTGACCTTTAAAGGCAGTATTTTGTGTAAGCTCTATAATTCTCCTACCAAAATGACCCTTACACATGCGCTTCTCTTCTTTTTCTCTTTCTCCCTCCTTCCCTCTAACACATACTCCTTTGCTTTAGTCACAGAGCCAAGCAAGCTGTGCATGACTCTGGAGATAAAAGTTTTGTCAACATCTGAAATCAACCTAAATCGGATAGGAGACACTTTAATGGTCACAGTTTGAATTAAGTACTTAACACTCTCCCCCCTGAAGAAAAATGGCACTTTGCAGGCTCTCTTTCCTAGTTTTGCTGAAATCTACGATATACCCGGTGTTTTATTACAGCGGGAATTCAACTGTGACAGGCATAGTAGAGTACTTAATACCCAGGATGGAGCTCATGGGAAGATTACCTAGATATATGGGGAGTGGGCCCTCTGCACAGCATCTCTGACTCTATACCCAGCTATCCCAGGGTGCCTACATTCCCCCCACCTCTCAGCTTCCTCCCCATGGGGTGGGGATCACCATCTCTACTCTGTCTCCCTGCTCTCCTAAGCATCCAAACTGTGCTGCTCTTCTCACTGCTGGGTTCCCTCCAGCAGTTTCAACATAGAAACTAATCAGGGACTCTTTAGAATGAAAGGAAAGACCCCAAAGAATCAATGTAGCAAACAGAAACCTGGGGCTTCCCATCTGAATGGGTGGGGCTTCTGTGCAAGCAGTGGGACTGTTCTTTGCACTCCCTTGGTCTGCATCCCTAGCCTGGGTCCTGTATTGAAGAGCAAAGGCTCACCCTTCCCAAGGGCCGCTCCAGTTGCCCCTTCTCTCTATTGTACAGCATGGGCCCAAGAACAACTCTGCTTCCTCTCTCAAAAGACTATGGGCTGGGAAAAATAGGAGGAGGAAAGGATGTGGGTTCTAACTTCTTGATAGCATTAGGGAGGCTGCTCGGGCTGTTATGGAACATTCTAGTCTGATCCTTCTGTCTTGGAATTTTGGCATCTCTTCTTCTCAAGGCCCCAAACTCATGGAGTAACTCCCCCCACCCCTTCAGGGCAGCTCCCCTCTCTCTGGACTTGATTGCTGGGGCTAAAAGAGGTCCCTCTTTGAAAGAATGTCTGATATGAAAGAGACTTGGAGACCATTTTGGTTCAGTCTTCAAAGTTTACCCATGAGGAAGCTAAGGCAGCTGAAAGTCCCCCCATGTGCATGTCAATGAATGTGTAGGTTGGATAGAGACTGGGTCTCACCTTGGAGAGGGGTAAGTGCACAGCCATCTTTGCTCCGTTGGAAGCCTATTCTGCCTGGAACGGACGTGGGCATCTGGGCTTACACTTGACATGGGTGGCCACAGGTGTGCTGCGGCCGGGGAAGAAGGCTGGGTTCTTGCCTGATCCGAGGTCAAAGTACCCAAGGAGGTTATGTAACCAAAATGCCTTAACCAAGACCCCGAAACGAGTGGGCTCTCCTCTGGGCTCAGGAGGGAATAGACGCCAGGGTGCCTGGGAGAGGGGTGGCCACCACACAGTCCACAAGGCTTGTAGTTCCAGATTGACTAATTCTACTCTGCTGGCCCTGGGATTTTCATGGCAGTCGCTGGTCCCGGAGTGGAGCAAGGAGCAAGGGTGTTAGCTTCCGGAGGCCTGGGAACTAAAAATGCCAAACAAGGACGGTGGTTGCTACAGATAAAGGTGTAGCACCAGTTTGAGGGAGATATTGAAATTGTAATCTTTTGAGGTCACGTGACTCATTAAATAATTAATGCGGATCGTCAGGAATGGATCGGAGTCCTCAGGGCCTCACTAGGAATGAATCTCTCAGAAGTGAGACCCCAACTTCCTATTTGATTTTTAAGAAAACACACATCCTCTGATTTATCTCCAAAGGCTTTTAACTCCTTCAGGAGGGCTGAAGAGAGCCCTTTGGCGGGGAGGACCGGAGCTGGCGGGCCCACGCTGGGTCTTGGGGCTTTTTCTTCAGGGTTTCTGCAAGTCCGGGGAGCGCGCCGTGTCCCAGGAAACGTGAGTTTGGGCTGGGTTTTCTGCGGTCACAGCCTGGCTTTAGTGATGGAGTGGGACGGATGCGCAGACAGTTGGTAATGTTCTGATTCACACTGGGGAAGGCTGCAGAGATACCACAGGACCGGCGCGCGGCTTTGTTCAATTTTCCCGGTGTTCATAAATCACCCGTGCCGCACCGGGCGAGCGAGGGAGCAAGCGAGCGCCAAAAACGCTGAGAGAGAGGCCACGCGGCGGTGGCGGCGGTGGCGGTGGCCATTGCAGAGAGAGAGACCTGGGCAGCATCTCTCTGTGACTCATTAGTCTGAACGATTTATGGGGAACAGCAGCCATGAATATTTGACTTGGGGATAAGGAAATAGCAACAACAATGATAACCATAATAATTACAATACTCCTAAGCGTCGTTGGGTGGGGGAGGGGTGCTGGATGGTGGCAGAGCGGATCTTTCTGGAGCAAAGTTGAATGGCACCAAGAAGGGTAGCTAAGCCCCACCTTGCTCGGAGTCACTCCAGGAGCTCCAAGCCCGGGGCACTCCCTTTGGGGATATAGAGGGAGAGAGTTTGAACAGGAGAAAGGGGGGGCCCAGCGTGGCCTCTGAGTCCTAAGTGCCTGATGGAGGGTGGGAGCTGCAGGTCGAGGTGGTGGCAGAGGGCAACTAGTTGCTCGTTTGTGGCCACTTGTTCAATGTGCTGGGGGGTCCTGAAGCCTGAGGGTCGGGGGCTTGCCAGCTATTTGGTAGCCTCTCAGGCTCTCAGCAAGATTGCAGGGGCTGTAGATAGGCATGGAGGGATGGTTTGGGGCAGGCTGGAGTGTGGGGAGGCTACCCCCGCCTGGGTAAAATGGTAGTGGGGGATATGATTGTGGAAGCAACCCGCCCAACAGAGTCCTCCAGCGGGGAACTTCTCCAAGCCCAGGTTTAGCAAGGAGGTGATTCTTTCCTCCCTTGCTCGGCGTCTTCTCCATCCCGGGAAAGTTGACTGACTGACTGCTAGTTAGAGAGCAAGAGAGAGTTGCAGATATCGTGAGGCATGAGTTGGCAGCAGATATAGGGCATTGGTTGGCCTGTTGCTGCTGTGTAAGGCCAGGCTGGATAGGGCCCCCAGACCAGGTATTGTCCGAAGTCTCTGTCCTTGCCATTTACCCCTATTTCCAACAGCCATGGTTGCCCTGCTCTGGCGCTGCCATAGTCCCGCCAGCCCACTGGGACGAGAAGTGACGCACCCAGGGCTTGAATGAACCAGAAGACAAAACCTCTCAAGACTGCCCCCGGCCCAAGGACTGAGCTGGGGTCTAATTTCGCGCCAAACAGAAATGAACACTATTAGTGAGGTTTCAAGAGGGTCCGTGATTGAATGCTCCCAGACAGGGCTTCCCTTTGTTAGCGAAAGAAAATAAAGCGTGCATTCACATTCCCCCAAGTTGAGGTGCGTGGGGAGCTCTCGGAGCAGAGCTGGCACCAACGCAAAGCTTCTTCCACTTTCCCATCTTCCTCCGCTTGTCCATTTCCTTCCCCTACCCCTTTCCCTCACCCCCCCAAAGAAAGAACGGGGAGAATGTGGGTGCGGAGATGGAGAATGTATTTATTTTACAAAAATAAATCACCATCTTCAGGCCATTCTTAGACTAGACCCTTACAAGCAACGAGTGCGCCTCATGGACGAGTGCCCTGGCGACTCCTCCGTGTCCGCGTCACCCTGGGGGCCACCCTGGCGCCCGCGCCGGCGGCACTTCCAACTCCGGTTCTCCAATTCCCTTCCTTCGCAGCCACGGTTTACCCTCTGCTGTTTATCTGTCCGCAGAGCGCCCGGACACCGGAAAAGGCGATTCCCCGAGTGCCCGGGGTCGGAGACAATCACTGCATCAGTCTTAAACATCTTTCGAGGTAAGAGCTGCGCTAACTCTTCACTCCGCGGGGCTTCGCACGGGCCTTTGGAAGGGATTTACCCTTCCAGGGAGAGCAGCCTCCTCTGAAAGAGCTTCTGGTCAATATTTAACTTCGGAGGCATTTTGGAGCTGGGTCCCCTTCAGCTGCACTCCCCGCGAATGCGGGGCTTCAGGCAGACAAAGAGTCTGCTCCGAAAGCCGGCCGGCGTTGTGCAGAAGGGACAGTTGCCGGGACCAAAGATGTGTGTGCGTGGGGGTAGGGGGTGTCAACGGGGTTTGTTTCTTTCTTCCGGTAAGCTCCAAACCAACCGCTGCACGGAGCAGCCGGGCAAAAGCAAGTAGAGGCCACGGGCGCGGCGGCCGCTGCGTGGGCCGTTCTCCTCGTCCACTGTTTGTGGCGCCTGCGGAGACTGTGAGTTCGAGAATGGCCGTCAGGCACAGACTGCGTGGAGGAAACTTGTCTCGCCGCCTTGCAGTTTGTCTTATCCTTCTGCCTTTCCTTGGCGAGAGAAAACTTACTGCCTTTCCAATGCAGGCAACCGGGTCTTCTCTGTTCCTTTAGCCGGGCTGATCCTCTGTTCTTCCAAGGGGAAAAGCACGGGTCTTCCAGGTCTCTGCGTTTTCTTTTCCTACTGGAAACAAGAGAAAACTCTTTAAAATTCTTTTCAAGTTCTGGCTTAATTTGTTCTCTTAGTTTGGGAATGCAGGGAGGTAATTACTGTGGTTTATTACCTTGTAAAAGATCCATAAATTTCGTGCCTATTTGGGGGAGGGGCTGCTGGAATAGCTTTCAGAAGCTTGGTATGAAGGAATGGGTTTGCTTTGTTCTTTCAGGAGTTATTTATTTTAAAACGTTTTCCGAGTTCTCGTTTTCTATTCCCCTAGGCCTCTGTCTTCCCTAAAATTTGCTCCTCAAATAGATAGCAGGTTGTTCATTAATTGCAACATGCTATTCAGCAATACTGGAAGGCTTATGTGGTGTTCTGGATACAATTATTATTTTATCAGATGGAAAGTAAACAGGGTAATAGTAAAGCTGGGTTACTGTCTCAACTACTGTATGCCCATTTATATTAAGTATAGGTAGGTGGAGTATTTCAGGAATTTGCAACTCAGGGTGTGCATATGATTTGCATCTCTGTACACAACAAAACCATTGCATGGATACACAGTTGCAGGAGTTTTAGACCATGTGTATAAAATGATACACAGATCCATATGTATCCAGAGAATTTGGAGCCCATTTGTACTGCAGCTGCACCCACAGAAAATATCTAACGTTAAATAATGATCTCTAACCTCCACCAAAAAGTGGGGGTGCTAAGCAGGCCTTGCCTGATGCTAAGTAACAAAACCACTACAGTTAACTAAAGGGGAAAAAATGTGAAGTGTATTTTTGACAGAGAAATCAGATTGCAGTGTTTGAATACAGATATATCTAATCTGCCAACAGCCTTGCAAATATTGACCAAAGCTCTGTATCCTTGCTCACCTGCTCCTTCCAAGGCAACTTTCCACCTATTTTGGCTCTTGTGAAATGGATCGAGGGCATGTGTCCCCAGCACTGGTCAGATTGGGGCCTGGAGGAGTAAGTGGAAAGAAAGGGACTGGAGCTAGATTTCCCAGCCTGGGCCTACATGCTTGGGCATCCCTATTCTTGTTTTCTGGAAGGGAACTTTAAAAGGCCCATAGCCTCTCTCAAGGAGAGTGGATTTCAGAGTGGTGAGGGAGGACTCTCAGCTGCCTGTTCCCTGGTGGCCTGCCCAGACCCACGTCTCTCTTAGGGAAGCCATTTTCACCTCAAAAGTTACATTTCCTGTGACTCCCTCAGATTTTTCCCTTCACATCCCACCAAATCACCCCATTCCAACCCAAGTCGTTAATGTTAATTGTTAAGCAGCAGTTGGAGCATTAACTGGGCTGTTAATAGCGGCATGGAGGCTCCTGGCTAGAACTGAGATGCCGCTGCTGGGCCTTCCTGGCGTTAAGGCATTTCTCTGAAGCAGTACCAAATACTTCTCCCATTGATTTATGGCCTTGGAGTTTCGATTTGCTCCAGACTGTCCGGAGAGTTCTGAAGGGGGCCCCTTCTCATCTTTGAGTCGAAGTCTCTGCAGAAACTTTGGTTGGGGCAGAGGGTAGTTTGGCAGTGATTTGGCAAAACTTCCAGGTCCTTTCTAGGTTATCAGGAGGGTTCAGTGTGAAATATTTGGCACTGCTGGGATGGGAAAGTATGCATAAGGGGAGCAGAGGACAATGTATTAGCGGTCTGAATCCTTGGGGGAATGGAGAGTGCTTTTTGGGTACCAGCTTTTGGTCCTATCCCCCACCCCCATACCTAAGAGAAGCAGTTTTTTTCACTTTGGGTCTCACTTTCCAGCTTGTGGCTTAGGTCAGAGTTGGGACAGTTGACAGAGAGGTTCTTTCCCAGCCCTACCACAAACAGAACTTTGTTGGAATACTGCCCCTAGCATAGGCCACAGCTCACTTCCAAGGGATTAGGTCTCCTCCTCTTTTATTACCCTTCTGATTTGGCACCCCCAGGACCAGGCCCCCTTACTGAGGGCCTTACGTTCTCACCAGGTCCCTGCAGGGGAGGAGGGGAGGGGCGGGATCATGCACAGCCTCCTGCAGCTACTACAAGTGAGTCCTCACACTTAGAAGGCTCAGGCAGCCGAAGATCCACTCTAGGGAAAGAAAAGAATAAGGCATGAGGATCTCACTGCTTCTGAGAGCACTCCCGAAGTTTGGAAACTCAGACGGGAAAAGAGGAACTTTCTAGAGGGTGAAGTGTTAAAATCAGTGGACAATGTCACCAAGCAGAAGTCAGGAGTAGAACAGGGGGGTTGTTTGTTGGAGCAGAGTTGATCCAGTTTGCTTTCTGCTGGTGGACAGACTTGTCTTAGGGGAGGGTGGACAGACCCATGTGCAAAGAAGGTCCCAGGTTATCTTGTAGGTAATTCCAAGGGATGCCAGTAAAGGGTGTGTGTGTGTGTATGTATTTATCTTACAGAGTCAATTAGATAATTCCCCCTTATATTTTCCATTGTTAGAAGCCTACAATTTCCTGTATCACTCCTGCTATGCACTGAGGACATGTCTAAGGGTAGGTATAACCAGGGCACTGAGTCCTTCCGTATTTTGCAAAACCCTGACCCACCACTCTCCAGCTAAGCACCTCTTTCCTAGAGGGCTCCCACTGAACAAAATCAACTGGATTTGGAGGAGGTGCTTTAGCCTTTTGTCAGGTAATTTGGGGCCTTTTGGGTTTCTCCAGTGGTGTGGTGTACAGCGTGGGTGTTAGCAAACTCCATACAATGGCAGGCCATGAGGGAGTCCACCAACTAAGCCAGTCATTACTGGGTTTTCTTCTGGAAACAAGTCCTGGGCTTTGCCTTTTGATGCACTGGCTGGAGGGCCAGAGGAGACTCGAGTGCTTGGGCGTGCAGTCTTCAGCTTGTCTGTGAGTGGAAGACTACAGAAAGTTACGTGGACTCTAAGAATGAGGACAGCATTGCCGTTTTGTTCCCTTCTGTTTGGATCCTTTGTAAAGAACTGTAAGTGGAGATAAGTGGCCTAGTGTGGCACATGTTGAGGGGGGTATGCCCCCATGGTCGCAGTGCCCTAGACAAAACTCTTCCCCACTACTGGCCAAGCTTCCCCACTTCCCCTACCCCAAAGCTGAATGTTCTGCTTGGAAACCTAGTCCCTTCAGTGATTCCCTATTTCAAATAAAAGGATTTAAGTTGACGTATGACCACGTGAGCACATAATACAGCGCATTATTGTGGCATTTGGAGCGGAGACCCGGGCGGGCTTCGCCTGTGATTACGTTTTCTAGATTCTCTGCCGAGCGAGAGATTTTTCCCCCACCCCCACGCACCCACCTCCTCCTTCTCCTTCCCCTTCTCCGGAGAGCACTCTCCTAGCGGGTTGCAGTTTTCAGCGCTCATGGAGCGGTTCTGGGCGAGCTAGCCGATGGGACTCGAGGCCACACCAGGAGGATGGAATTTATTTTAAGGTATTTCCGCTGATTGTTCATATCTAGAGTGAGTTATGGCTGTGAGAGACAAAGGTCAGGCGAGGAGACCCTGGTTCACCAACAGGACCCTCAGCCCCTCTCTTCCTTTGTTTCTCTCGTAGAACCGAAACTGCTTGAAAGATCCCCAGTAGCGCCTCAGACTGAGTTTAATTCCCTGGAAAGTGTTGGGGGTATAAAGGAAAGGGCACTTGGCGGCTACTAGGTAAGCCCGGTGGCTTCCAGCGCTTAGGCGGCTTTGTCCACTGCTGCGGGCTGGAGTCCCAGGAGCTGAGCCCCAGGCGGAGGGAGGGTCCCGAAGCACCGGATCACGCCGAGGTGGCCCGCGCCGCGCTCGCGGGGCTAGACTGCCAGGAGGGGGTGGGGGCTGGGTGGACGGGTAGGGGAATTGCTCCGGGTCCGAGGCGTTTGTGGGGCCGCCGGGGTTGAAGAGGTAAGGCTGATTTGGGCAACTGGAGCAGTTGGAAGAGGGAAATCAATGAGTGTGCAGATGCGCTGCCATTTTATTGATGATGCTTCGGGCCACTTTGTTCAGTGCTGGGTTGTAGGACGGGCTTTCCCACACGCGGGACCAAAGGTGCCAGACCCCAGAAGATGCACCATTGTTTCCCCAGCACCCTCTCTACCCGGGTAGGCTTGAGGAAGGACAGCTCAGACCTAGTAGACGCTTAGCTTAGGGTGGGGGGGTAAGCCTGAGGAACGCCCGGAAGCTCTATTAGGCTGAATTTTGGAGAGGAGGGAGCTAGACCTGGGTTTGGGCTTCATATTGTGCCTGGCCTGGACACCCCATTGTAACACACCCAGCCAGCTTGCAGAGTTTTAAGGACTGGCTATTGCAACCTGGGCTAGGGAGAATTCCAGAGGCAGAGTCCACAGAAAGCAGAGGCAGACATATCTCGGGCTTCAGACACCAGGAACAGTGCTATAGCCAGGACAGAGGCAGATGAGAGTTAAACTGT